TTGAGTGGACTGAGTGGACTTTGCTGTTCCGATGAGCATGAACGGTATATGAGTGGAGCTGAGCGGAGCAATAGAGCGGGATATGCTTTTTTGAAAATTTTAGCAATTTAAAAATATTAAAAAAGGATTTTTTACACGGCACCCCTGCTCTCGACAGACGGCACCCCAGGGTGCCGCGGCACTCCGGTTGGGAAACACCGAGTTACACAACCCTCAAAAAGGAGTGTTATAGTAGTTATTTGTTATTTTGTCAATCAATCAATGTAAGACTTACATAGCTTTACTGTTGTATGTAGAGACGATCAACTTCAAAATGCATAATAATGCTTAATCACTGCCATGAGGCATGTATGTATTTTACACAAACATTGATTTGCATGCATGCATATTTGCTTTTGTATTCAATACTTATTGTAAAAATATAATCAACCAAAAATGTGTCTGAGAGTGTGTGTGTGTATATATATATATATATATATATATATATATATATGTATAAAATGTTCATTATACGCTCTTGTACAGGCTCAACAACGTGTTCACCACGGTACAGCCCAAAGTGGAGTTTGCCTTGCTGTGCAGCGGCCCATGACATCTGTAAACTGCTGAACCGAGCTGCCCTTTTGGATCTACCACCACAACCCCGCCAAGACCATCCACCCGCTCCTTCATATAAGTAAGAGCCAGGTCACTAGCTTCCTCTGGGGTCTTGCCTATAGAATAAAGAAGAACACACACTTAACTGAATCATGCAAGTAAGTGATTTACTAATATAAAACAAAATACAGTTGACTAACAATATTAACAAGCTAGTACATGGTATTATCATTACAGATCTCTATGCCAGATGTATGTGACCATGTAATGCATGATAAGGAAGCAAATGGTTTAAAGGAATAGTTCACTCTAAAAATGGTAATTTGCTGAAAATTTACTCACCTATACTATACAAGGCTATACAAGAAGGAATTTGTTTCTTCATCAGAACAGATTTGGAGAAATCATCACTTGCATCACTTGCAGTGAATGGGTGCCGTCAGAATGAGAGTTTAAACAGCTGATAAAAACATCACAATAATCCACAAGCAATCCATACAACTCCAGCCCATCAATGTATTTTGAAGCAAAAAGCCACGTGTTTGTAAGCAACATATCTATCATTAAAGCATTTTGACTTTAAACTGTCGCTTCTGGCCAAAATACGAGTCCATAATAACGCTTCAAAAAGTCAATGCCCTGTTGTCCTCTTACATCAAAATCCACCAACATATTTGTGTAGAACGGTTTTGGACTGTTTTCACTTGTAAATGGTGCTTAATCTGAGCATATTTTTCTTCTGATTCAGACGAGACGAAAGCAATATTATGGATAGAGGATGTATTTTCGCTGGAAGCAACAGTTGGAAGTTTAAAATGTCTTAATGATTGATTTGTTTATTACAAGCACACAGATGTTCGCTTCACAAGATGTTAATTGATGGACTGGAGTTGTGTGGATTACTTGTGGATTACTGTGATGTTTTTATCAGTTGTTTGAGCTCTCATTTTGACGGCACCCATTCACTGCAGAGGATCCAGTGATGAGCATGTGATGTAATGCTAAATTCCTTAAAATTTGTTTCAATGAAGAAACAAGCTCATCTACTTCTTGGATGGCCTGAGGGTGAGTAAAGTTTAGGCAAATTTTAATTTTTGGTTGAATTATTCCTTTAAATTATGTGGTTCATAAGGATTGAAAGGTGAAACCAAATAAATCTTATCAACACCCTGCCCATATCAACACACATAGATCCGAGTTGACCTCTGCTGCTTCAGCAAAAACATATTTTCCTGTTGTGTTTCCACACACACAAGGCAAAAGCAGACACACAGATCACCTCAACAGAAAACAAAGGCTAACTCACATTACACAACATACTGGCTGGGTAATGAGAGACCATGTTACATGAAATGTCCTTCTGAGGATGTGCAGGCAGGATAATCTGCGCTGTACTGTTCAGACAGGTGGTTTTACGTAACGCATTGTATGAGACTGACTAAAGTTGTTTTTACTCAGTCCCATGAAGTGAGCAATGTTTACCTAAACAGACTTGAGGTCAAGCATCTTAATGAGGCTCTAGATCTCCAGTTAATGTGTAGCTGCAGTAATACAAGCTATTTATTCACTAAAATGCTGCCAGGAATTGGTCACACAGCTAATCATGAACACATACGAACCGTTCATATGAGCTCATGTCAATATACCTGTTGCTTTTAAATCAGTATTACAATGCAGACTGATTTATGGTCCAAGATGTGACATTTATAGATGGCATGCAGTAATAATAAAACTACCGATTACAAATGCACAGTACACAAGAAGAGAGATATCATATGGTCATATGGTCAGATTAACTTTTCTTTATATAAAATGATAATGTACTATAGAAAGGGCACTATCACAACATAAACTCAGACAGCTTCATTTTTATCCCATCATGATTCAAAGCTCTTGCAATAGTGCTCAGTTTTAAATGTTTAATCAATAGTTCCAGTTACTTTTTCTAGGAACTAGTTTTAATTAGTTTTAATTTAAAATTTTTAATTACAATCTAACATGTTTTGGTTTCAATCCAAATCTAGTTGTCTCTTACAACTTCCTAGTTATTCCGAGCAATGTTTTTATTCCTTGCTCACCATGTACTGTATATTAAAATTAATACCAAAGTCCTCCAATATTATTTTTACTACTTCTGGTAGTGACTTGTTTTGAGAAACAGATATAATAACTTGTGTTAGTAGGAAAAGGAGAAGTAATATACGGGAGACATGAAATGTATTTCACTATTGCTAGACAATGATGAAATACACAAATTCAAAAGTTTGGGTCGGTCTCTTATGCTTACCAAGGATACATTTATTTGATCAAAAACAGAGTAAAAACAGCAGTATTGTGAAGTATTATTCCAATTGTATTATTCCAATTTAAAATAGTTGTTTTCTATTTGAATATATTTTTTAATATAATTTATTCCTGTAATGACAAAGCTGAAATTTTTAGCAGAGTCTGTGATAAATTTTTTCAGGATTCTTTGATGAATAGAAAGTTCAAAAGAACAGCATTTATTTAAAATATAATTTTTTGTAGCATTGTAAGTGTCTTTACTGTCTCTTTTGATCAATTTTTAGGTCCTTGCAGTTTAAAAGTATCATATTATATATAAAAAAAAAATAATACAACTGCTAAATACAGCTGACCAGAATCAAGTATTACAGAGAGTAAAAAGCCTAATAATAAAGTATATTATTCACGGTTTAAATAAATATTCTGTATAGTAAAATAAATATAGTATTCACTTAAAAAAAATAAAAAATAAGAAAAAGACCTCAAAGCTTTGTTTGTTGTTATGCTGAATAAGTTGTACTGATATTGTAACACATGCCTTGCTCCATGTGGAAGAGAATGAGTCTAGACAGCGTGACTTTCATGATGGCTTCCCCATGGCCTGTGGGTGAGACTGCCCCAATATTGTTATCTGCATAGCCCCCACATCCTGAGAATCAGACGAAAAAACACAAATCCAGAGTGAGATCTTTCCTATACACACACTCACACTCAGCAAACCTTTTGCTCCAGATGAACTTCCACCTGTTTGAGGCAAACCCTGACAATTTTCACTGCGTAAGGGAGAATAAAGCAGCTGTCTTTTTACACTTTTTATTTACTCACTTTCTAAATCAGACAATACCAGCAGAGTCTGTTTACCCAGCTCTGTTTCTATCGTTAACTAGTGTGTATGCGTGATTCCCACATGTTAAAATGTGTCCTGAAAGAATGTGTATGTGGAGGGTGATGTGGTGTGGTGTGCTGAGCTGGGGATCAGATCAGTGGTTTGAATATTAACTCAGCAGGCAACAAGCTCTCATGAGCAGCTGAAAATTATACACATTCTTGCATGTAAGGTCAGAGTTCAATCCCTGTCATATCAGCTGCTTAGGTGTTTTTTAGTCAAATTAAAGGTTAAAATTTAGTGTTAAAATACTTTCTTCTATTTCAGTTTAATTCACAGAAACAGCTATAAGTAAAGCCATGTGTAGGCGGATTTCTCTCAAAAGTGTTAACACTGAAGGTCTGTAGTGCAAATCAGATCAAGGCCCCTAACATACATTACAAAGCAGCAGGTTTGGATTTACCAACACACAGCGTGTCTCCCACACGACCCTCCATTTTATTTATCATTCCACCACTGGATGTGGCACAAGCAATGCTCCCGTCTTTGTCCACAGCTACTGCACCGACTGTTCCCATCTTGCCCCTGAAACGCATGCATACAAAATGGCTTTACAAACAAAATGTCTTACTTATTCTGGTAGCTAGTTCATCAGAAAGAAAGAAATTAGATAAACATAGAAACACGGCATGTGTTGCAATTTCTTTACATTTAAAATGAATGCACATAATTGGACAACACAAAGCATATTTCAGATATACAGTTCACAAAAATGGACCCTTTCATTGTGTATGCCTAAATAAATAAATAAACAAACAAGATTCAGCTTTGCCATTACAGGAAAAAATTACATTTAAAAATCTCTCTCTCTCTCTCTCTATATATATATAAACAGTTTAAATTGTAATAATATTTCACTGTTTTTACTGTTTAAAATAAATGTAACTTTGGTGAGCATAAGAGGCTTCTTTCAAAAAATAAATAAATAAAAACATACATACATACATAAAAAACTTAATTATTCCAAAGTTTTTATCAGTAGTGTATTTAGAATCTATGAGTTTCAGAGAAGAAAGTCATATAGGTACTTTTCATTTTTGGGTGAACTATCCCTTTAACTATTACTGCAACTCTTTCTTCTTAGTAGAAGTTTTAGACATTAGACATCTTATGCCAAAAACATTTATGTCAGCACTTTGTACCAGTTTTCATTACATAAAAGCTTTACATTTGGCATTCCACAGGGTTGGCATCTGGCTCCAGGTTCTTCTTCCAGCGCATCTTGGCATAGTCTGTGATCAATGACTCCTCAGGCACTTCCGGTACACCCATGCTTCTGGCAAACTTAGAGGCCCCTTCAGCTGTCAGACACAAGTGTTTGGTCTCCAGAGAGAGGACAGACATCATTCACATTACTACTATTATTATTTATTATTTATGATTATTTTAAATGCAAACTGTAGTGAAATTATCTAATGATTGCATTCAATGTATTCAAAAAGCATCTGATATCATATAGTCTAGTATTCCTACTATTAACACTTTTTGTTTTTAATTTTGGTAACTGTAGATTACTCAAAACTAAATCTCCCATGGTGGTTATATACAGTATTTGGGAAGATGTTGTGCAATTTACAATAATACCTTCTCCATGACAAGCCTGGCCAGTTGCACGGGGTTAGCAATTCCTCTGACCGCTGAAACAGCCCCACTATCTAGACTCCTGCCGTCCATGACCATTGCATCCATCTCCACCTCCCCCTTCACATTAAGCACTGACCCCTGACCTGTGACATATGGGCATAACCTGAGTTTTCTACTTACCCTGGATGTAGTATTAGGTATTAAGCAAGAAGTATGAAAGTATGAGAGTTAACTGATGGGTACCTGCATTGAATCTCGGGTTGTTCTCCATCAGGGCCACTGCTTCAACCACAGCATCCATGGCGCTTCCACCCTTCAGAAGGATGGCATACCCAGTCCTGGTTGCCTCCTTTACACCAATAGTAGAGAGTTCAGCTCTTTCTTTAGGAATATGACCAGCACCTCCATGCACCACCACTACAGGCAGCATAGCTGTCCACAATGATTGAGAATAATATTGAGAAGACAAAAAGTGAGAGAGAGAGAGAGAGAGAAAACTTGTTGTGTATTTAACTGTTGTATAAAAGCAATATCACACTCGCAATCGTGCTGCTGTTTTGAATATACATTTTTTAACCATATTAATTTAAACCGTATTATCACTTTGAGCTATATATCAAACCAGCTGCAAAATACGCATAATATTATTCTTTACGTTGCATAAAGCTAAATTCTATGCCCATTAGACCCTAAGATGTTATACATTCACTAAGTATAAATCAGTGTTTTTTAATAATTTTACTATCATAATAAATCTGTCTACAGGTAATGTATTTCAGCAGATGCAATCTACAATATCAGCATAGTGACCCGCTATAATGTCCGTTAATTTACAATGGCATGTCAAATTTCGTTGCTCATTTAGTTTACAAGCTGTAATCAGCCGAATCCCGTCATCAAATAAACTGCTCTATGAGTGAGTCATCAGGAAAGCTAATGACCAAAATCTAATGCAGCGTTTTTGTAATTTTGTGTCAGGTGCACTTGCCCACATACGCATAAAATTAAAAACGATATTTAACAAGGCTTTCTCACCAGATTAACGACTAACTACAGAAATATGAAATCAAAGATAGCAGAAGTGCATTAAAAGCGAAGGAACAAATGTAAATTTACCAATTAAGATTATCACAAGGTTTATGGTTCCATTTGCACAGTGAAACCAAAAATCCCAGAACACCTGGATGATTACAGCTGGTTTCTAATAGTAGCACAGATCCAGCTACCATTTCATTTATTTATTTCTATGCTGTTCTGTTACCTTTTAAGTTTTGAAACTGTCATCTTCTGGCAATGAATGAAATAACATTCACCACCATATCAGTGGCCTAATAAACATTTTGCAACCTACACTGATGTTATTCTCTGTCATCTGTTCGTCTGCTGTGTGCTGAATTTGCACTTGCAACACGCTGTTCTCAATCTTAACCGCGAGTCAGGCTCGGTGAATCTCGAGCGTCGGCTGCTGGTAGATGCGATTGGAGAGCGAAAATGGGATGCAGTGCGCGCGTGCAGCGAGCCCCCATTCTCAAAATGAGAGTGCGCGCGGTCGTCTAGAGTAGGCGTGCGCGCGCTTGAGGGGCTGCGGTCCCATTGACTATTCCGTCTCCCTGACAGCGGCAGCATCAGCAGCAGCAGCAGCAGCGAGCTCGGAAAACAGAGCGCCGCGCGGACTCCGCCTTTTCTCCCGTCATCCCACCCGAGAGCCCAAGCTCCGAAGCGGCTTCATCAACAAGCGCAAGACCCCCCTCGTCGACTCGCACATATCCTCCGGATCAGAGATAAGCCATCGGACTATGTCCTGAATAGCGGTTTACATAGCTGGGATTGTGCACCGATCATACAGGGGTAAAATATGTCCGCCTCGGTGGGGCCCCGCGGCGGCCCTCGCCCACCCTCAGCGCAGAGCTCCATATCCGAGCTACCGGACCTCAGTCACCTCACCGAGGAGGAGAAGAAAATTATCATGGCTGTGATGGTTCGGCAGAGGGAGGAAGAGGCAAAGGATGAGGCCATGCTCAAGTAAGACATCACACTTTATAGGGAGCCTGCCCGTAGCATTTGTGCTGCTTCTAGAGACCAAAAGGCAAACAGCTTGTAATGGTTTCTGTAGGTGCATCTGTTTGCAATAGCCTACTAATAAAGCCATCAAGCTGTACGCCTGCACATGAGCTCCTGTGTGTGTGTGGGTGGGTGGGTGAGTCTGGCCATGTATGTCCACTTTCTCCATCCTTATGGGCACCTGTCATGGATGAGCCTCACTTGTGTATTCATACACATCCATATGAAACAAGCTTGTCTAATGAACGGCCAGGTGACTGGTCACAGGTATAGCTGTTAAAGAGGGGTGTGTCAACATGCAAGAGCTAAATATCTACAACTCAATAAATCCTGCTGTTTTACACCTCACAGTGTGATGGATTAGTTTTAGGCAGCACACACGTCATGTCACATTATTAGTTCATTTATTCGACACATCCTGCATTTTTAATGTTTCTTTAAATAGGTTAGTAAAAGTTTTCCACACTATTCACCACCAGTGTCAGGATTCCTGCCTGGTCACGACAATATTTCCGTGCCTCGTCATCATGATCATCAGGATCTTTAACCCATTCATTGAAATCTTCCCTGATTGTAGTGTGAGCATCACTCACAGCTTGAAGTATCAGTCATAGCTTTATGTTTTCCTCATCTGTTCAATTTCCTTTCTTTTCTTTTCTTTTCTTTTCTTTTCTTAGATCCTCCTAATGATATATATGTATAGCATCATAATGAACTATATGTATAGCAAAAGTATTCAACTCAAAGAGCTTTACAGTAAAAAAAGACTTATTACAACAAGCACCAAATACTTCAAATGAAAACTGGTAAAAAAAAAAAAAAGATCTTTTTATGACAGGCACTCGTCAGCAGTTTACATGAAGGATGGTTTGTAAAGTTTTATTCTGAATGGCTATTTGTGGTTCATCAGTGCTGTTATCAAGAGTGTGAAGATGTTTCTTGGCTTCCTGTCCACCAGCCATTTAGAAGCCATCATTGCTTATATTACATTAGTTGTTGGTCACCTTGAGATTTGAAATCAGATTTATGCATCTAAAATGGGTTCACTGAGCAGCTACACTCGATAACCTAACCACTTCTTGTCCTAAATTACTTATAGGAAATAGTCATGCATTTATTTAATTTCTCAGTTTTTGTATATAAATTTTTTTTGTCACTAAACTCTTCTGAAAGAAAAATGAATAACATTTTTCTTTGAATGGTTAAAGGTCACAGGTCAAATGATCACTGAATTCCGTCTCAGTTACACAGTATTTCTCTTAGAGAGAAGAGACAGATCACCACATAATCTGTGTACTAATCTGTTTTAGTGTGCCGATAAACTCTCATTTTCATTGGCTGTGTGTGTCATGAGATCGATGTTTGAATTGGACAGTTCCTCACTCTCAAAGAAACTTCTGTCCTGAAGCAGAAGCTAGAGGTCGACCTCACAATGCTTTTGAGGCATTCAGAAATACAACAATACTGTGCTAGCTTAAAGGCATAGTTCACCCAAAAATGAGAATTATGTCATCATTTACTCACCCTTATGTCATTCCAAACCTGTATGACTGGCTTTCTTCTGTGGAATATAAAAGAAGATTTTTTTGTACTCTTTTATTTATCTTCATTTGTGTTTTGCAGACAGAATCTTTATTTTTGGATGAACCATTCTTTAAAAATAATATTGCAGAATTGTTTACAAAAGGAGATGTTTTGTCTTTATAACTCAACTTTCATTTCATGAAAATGCATGTTTGGTGAAGGTTGGTAATACTAGAAAAAGTTAGCTAAAGAAAAAACTTTTCATGCAAAAGAGCTAAGATTTATTTCTGAGAGATTTACCGTCACTATCTAAATTGTGTTTGTACATTTTAGAGAGGAGACGCCCATACAAGCAAAAACAGTGAACCTGGTCGGGAACAAGAAACCACCTCAGCAGAACGACATCAGGTAAACATCTCAGTCAAGTTTACATGCAGTAAGTTAATAATGGAGTTTGATGTAAATAAATGATAAACATTATAGTGCAGTGTGGTTCTCAACCTTTTTGTCTCCAAGGCCCCAACCCCTTTGTCCAACACAATATTCAAAGTTCCTCCTATCTAAGCCGTTTACAAGCAAAAACAGTGAACCTGGTCGGGAACAAGAAACCACCTCAGCAGAACGACATCAGGTAAACATCTCAGTCAAGTTTACATGCAGTAAGTTAATAATGGAGTTTGATGTAAATAAATGATAAACATTATAGTGCAGTGTGGTTCTCAACCTTTTTGTCTCCAAGGCCCCACCCCCTTTGTCCAACACAATATTCAAAGTTCCTCCTATCTAAGCCGTACTTCTAGTACTTGTATTGTAATACAAATAAACTCAAAAATAAGATGTCAATCCAGTGTTGTACATATTTAAGAGTAATATGGGGGGAAGTCGTGGCCTAATGGTTAGCGAGTCGGACTCATAACCCAAAGGTTGCGGGTTCGAGTCTCGTACCGGCAGGGATTGTAGGTGGGGGGAGTGAATGTACAGCGCTCTCTTCCACGCTCAATACCACAACTGAGGTGCCCTTGAGCAAGGCACTGAACCTCCAACTGCTCCCCGGGCCCCGCAGCATAAATGGCTGCCCACTGCTCCGGGTGTGTGTTCACGGTGTGTGTGTGTTCACTGCTGTGTGTGTGCACTTTGGATGGGTAAATGCAGAGCACTAATTCCGAGTATGGGTCACCATACTTGGCCACATGTCACGTCACTTTCACTTTATATAATTACGATTATATTAAGTAAATTTAAATACTTTTAAGACTTATTGAAGTCCCCCTGGAATTCTGCCCGCCCCCGATTGAGAACCACTGCTCTAATGGCCATTGCCATGTCATTCTATGTTCTGACTGTTATGACTGCAGTTTCTATAAATGTCAGACAATAAGGCCGTGACAACACTGCCTCAAAATGTAAGAGTCATACATGATAGTGAATGAAAGGTCAATATTTACCTCAAGGATGTGCCCTATGCTGGTATTTTTTGCAGCTGTAGGGTTTGTAAAGAATGAAATTATTGTGCATGCTGTTGTGACATTCTTTAATACTTTAAATGACTGCTTTATATGTTTTCGATTTTCTCTTTTATTGCCCATTGGGGTCATGCTGAAGCTGCTGAGAGTGTGCACTGTATTGTAAATCGAAATCTTTTTTACAGTCGCATTTTTTTTTTTTCCTGCAAAACAAGAAAACAAATCCTGGCACCTGTGGTGGTGCTTTAGAGTGCTGACAGAGAAATATTTATGCTATGTTAAATTATTTATGCACACCAGTATTGCCCTGGTTCTCTCAGCTGAAGAATAAGAGGACTGCGGTGTGGTTCATATCAACAGATAGAGAACATCTCTCTCCCACTTGCTTTCTCTGGTCTCTGGAGGGGTCAGAGGATCAGGAAGGCTTATGATTATGGGGCAAGTTGGCCAAAACACATCTGTTTCTGTGTGGAGTCCCTGGATGTGATCACTTGTGATGTCATCAGCCTGACCAAGAACTTGCCCCAGTAGAGTGCTGCAGTGATGATGTATTTTTGTAATCGAATCCAGAAGTTAGCATCACCCTGATGCCCTCGACATAAACCCAAAAGTATTTTACCAATGGCTTTTGGATTAATGTAGAAAATAAGCTCTGTGACCAACAGAAGTTTATGATTCCTACACATTTTGTTCATCATGATAATCTTCACAAATGAACACAACTTTTATAAATTTTGAAGCCTGAATACAATCACCAGAAGAAAAAGCTAAACGTAGGGTATAAACGAACTACATCGTGGTCACATGACTCCGACGACTCTTACAGTCTTTATTTAAAGGGGTGCTACATGCCCTTTTACAAGTTGTTTGAACTGAAATGTGTGTTGGCAGTGTGTATACACAACCACCCTATAATGATAAAAATCC